CTAACCCTTCTTCCCCTACAGCACAATCACCTTCACACTACCTTTACCTTTATTCTGTGAGACACAGTCTCTCTCCCCCCCTCATAAGAAAACCTATACTTTTATCCGCACAAAACTCTCCAAACTCATGCTTTACTCACAGCAAACCAACTGCAAGAAACAATGGATGACATTCAAACGCTTGATTCCATAGCTTCAGTGCTTCACTGACACTCGAGTTCCCTCCTACTAATTTCCCCCACTACTGACCCCTTCTCTCCTACTACCCTCTAACACAACCTAACCCCTCAATTCAATCCATCTTCCTGATATCCATCCCCTCTCTTACTCACACAACACCCTACACCTATCTCCTAATTCCTCCCCAAGACAACACATCTCCTTCAACTCAAACTTCCATCCTTAGATATCCACCCTTCTACCACTATACTCCCCAAACATCTACTCCTCCAACACAAACCCAACCCCTTCATCCCGAATATAGGCACATTTCTCCTCCCTCATCCATCCTCTACTTTTTGGCAACTTCCTCCCGGAATACACAACGAGAATCACTCATGTCACAACAATGCCCTTCCCAAAATTCCCTATAGACCTCCTAATACCCCTCCTTCACTCCTAGCTCCTTCTCCCCCAGATTCTTCCCCAATCGTATACTGTATGCGATTATCACTACATAAGCTATAGCTCTCCTACATTGGAATATTCGCGGTTTCCGTTCTCATAGACCAGACCTACGTCATTTCCTTGCTTCTTATAATCCATCTATTATCTGCCTCCAAGAGCCTTTCCTCACACACCCTCCTATTCCAATTCCCAATTACTATTTTATCTCTTCCCCACTTTGTGTCTCGTCTATACTTATCCATCATAAAACACCTTATGTCATACCTCCCATACAAACTACTGTCCCGTGCACAGCTATTCGCATCTTTCTTCACCGCTAGATCACTGTGATTTTAGTCTACTTCTCCCCATCCCATCCCATTGACTTTGCTGCCTTTGAAACTCTAATTTCCCAAATCCAACCACCTTTCCTCGTAATTGGTGATTGCAACTGCCGCCACACTCTGTGCGGTGACTCTACTACCAACTCTCGAGGCCAATCCCTAGAACGCTTCCTCTTTACAAGTAACCTAATTATTCTTAATTCAGATCGCCCCACACACTTTGACATGTGCACACAATCCTTTTCATGCCTTGACTTCTCTCTATGCTCTCCTACTCTACATTTAGATTTCCATTGGTCAGTTCTAGACCACTTCCCCTATAGTGACCACTTCCCAGTACTCCTTTCTCCTACTTCATATGTACCACTTCCTAATCCTCCACGCTGGTGCTTTGATAGAACTGACTGGCATACCTTCACTTCAGTCTCTACTATACCTATCCCTCCATCCCCTTTACCGTCCATTTCAGATATGCTACAATGTTTTACAACCACGATCCTAAGAGCTGCTTATACAGCCATTCCTCGAACTTCAAGACCTTATACCTCTAAATGTGTTCCATGGTGGAATTCTGATTGCACCAAAGCGCTTCGCTTAAAACGAGCAGCCTGGAACGGCTATCGCTACAAACGAGGCACCCCTCACCAGCTATCAGCCCTTATTTCCTTTAAAAGGGCATCTGCCCATCTTCGCCGTACAATTAGAAACAGCAAAACAAATAGCTGGCAAAATTATGTTTCATCAATTACATCTACATTTATTTCAGCTGTTTGGCGACGGATCCATAAATTATCAGGCAAACATCCCCCCCATCCTGCACCCGTCCTCCATATTCGAGATACTCCCATATCTGAACCTGTCGAAGTAGCTAATGAACTGGGCAACTATTTCAGCCAGGTCAGTAGTGGCTCTCACCTTTCTCCACACTTTTCTTCCATTAAAGCCATCAAAGAATGCATCCCTATTACCTTCACCCTATCCTCTGATGAGCCCTATAATGCTCCTTTTTCTTCTTCTGAACTCAACACTGCATTACAGTCGTGCCGCAACACTCATGAAGGCCCTGATGGTATTCACTATCGTATGCTTTGACACCTCCATCCCATCTTCTTCTCCTTCCTTTTAACTATTTTCAACCACATATGGAGGTCAGGAAATTTTCCTTCTCATTGGCGAGAAGCTCTTATCCTACCTTTCTTAAAACCCAATAAATCAGGTACCCTACCCCAAGATTACCGCCCCATAGCTCTAACTAGCTACTTGTACAAACTAGTAGAATGAATGGTTAACTTCCGCTTAATGTGGTATCTTGAATCTCATAATCTCCTTTCCCTTTCCCAGTTTGGTTTCCGACGTGCACGAAGAACAGCAGATATATTACATTGAAATTTGCATGCCATGAATCCGTATTAGCCATATTCTTTGATCTAGAAAAAGCATATGATACCACATGGCGATACCATATCCTCCAACAATTGTCCTCCTTAGGTTTACGCGGAAACATGGGCGTTTTCATCAAATCCTTCCTTTCTAAACGTACCTTCCAGGTCAAAATTGCCTCTTCCACGTCATCATCCTTTCCTCAATTTGAAGGCGTCCCACAAGGAAGTGTGCTTAGTACCACTTTATTCCTTCTTGTTGTAAATGACATAGCCTCTGTCCTACCACCAGGAGCCCGGGCATCACTATAAGTTGATGACTTAACCATCTATGCATCTGGCACATCCATACCAGATCTCTGTCAATTCCTTCCTTGGGCCACCAACCATGGCTTTCGCTTCTCTACCTCTAAATCTTTCCCCATCCTTTTCTCTCGCTCACATACGGTCACCAAACCCCCACTCTTCTTATATAACGCTCCACTCCAATACCGTTCTTCTGGCAAATTCCTAGGCGTTATATTTGATTCCAAATTGTCCTGGCAAGACCATATCTTGTACATCAAAGAAAAAGCTCAACGCTGCCTCCGAATCTTACAAACTCTTTCAAACCTTTCCTGGGGCTCAGATCGCAAAACTCTCCTCCATCTTCATGTTACCTTGATTTTCTCAACTCTAGATTATGGATGCCATATCTACTCCTCTGCCTCAACCTCTCTTCTTGCCCACCTTGATACAATCCACCACAGCGGTCTCCACTTAGCCCTAGGCGCCTTCCGCTCCTCTCCAGTTGAGAGTCTGTATACTGAATCTGGCATGCCGTCCCTCTCTCGACGTCGAACACTTCTCTTTCTTCGATGCTATGCTCGATTTCACCAATTTTCCCTAACCAAATTAACTATTCCACAATCCTTACTTCATACCTTTACCTCATCTCCACGTTTACCAACTTCTCTCCCCGTACGCATGGATACCCTCCTCTCCCATTCCCCCTTTCCTCACCTCCGACCTCTCCCACTTTCTGTCCATTCCATTCCTCCATGGCTTATACCTAACCCCTGTATTTGCTCCTCAGTTTTCCCTGACCCACCAAAATCAGATATTCCCCCCTTTATCCTTCTCACTCATTTCCTTGACCATGTCTCCATTCATTCCTCCAGCATTCATGTTTACACTGACGGTTCCAAATCCATCTCAGGAGCTGGATTCGCAGTAACATTCCCAAATTGCACTTTCAAATACACCCTCCCTCCTGAATCTAGTGTCTTTACTATAGAACTGTATGCACTCCTTTTTGCCTTAAGACGCATATACTCATCCCCTCTTCTCTTTTACTATTTTTTACTGACTCCCGTAACTTTTTTAACCTCATGAAGTCTATACACGACCAATCCCCTTGTCTGTAAGATCCAGAACTGGTTGTTCTATCTATCCACACGTCACAAATCTGTCAGGTTTTGCTGGGTACCCAGCCATGTTGGAATCCCTGGCAATGAACAGGCAGATACTCTTGCATACTATGCCGCAATGTCCACATCACCTCAACTACGCTTCTCACATATTCCAGCTACGGATTATTACCCCACTTTAAAACCCTCCACACTCCCCCCCCTCCCCTATCCCTCCCCCCCATCCCTCTCATCCCCCATACCCCCCCCCCTCCTCCATCCCACCCCCCCCCTCCCCCCTTCCCATCCCTCTCTTAAGTACCCCAGTAAATGAAGTAAGCGGAGAGGCGGAAGAACACGGACACTCGATGGCAATCCTTTTGGTCAAGACTCCACAACAATAAATTACATACAGTAAAACCTCTCCTCTTGGTCAGCTCCATTTCACAAAAACAGACGTTGGGAGACGGCCCTCGCACGCTTAAGTATTGGTCACACTCGCCTAACACACGCCTATCTAATGTCACGCTCAGACCCGCCCCTATGTCCTCTATGTAACGTCCCTCTTTCAGTTCCACACATTCTCTTGTCCTGTCCACGCTTTAATACAGCACGTACCTCTGCTTTTCCACACTTATCCTCCTTTCACCGACGTCCCAACATATCAGACATCCTTACAGAATCTCACAGCTTCTGCCTTGACAACCTGTTCTCCTTCCTGAGACGCATAAACATCCTTCACTTGATCTAACTCCCTTACCTAAACCACCATAACCTTTTCCCCCATCTTCAACCTTTCAACACTACTCTAGATAGCTGACACATGGCAACTATCACCCCCCCCTGACACCCCCCTTTACTATACCTTCCTATAGTGCTATATGACCTTAGATGTCTACCACTTTTTTTTAACCATTAATCATTAACCATTCGGTTCAGTCTGCAGAAGAAGCGATGCTTAAATCGATATATCTGTGAGTGCGTGTGCGTGCATGTTGTGTTGTGGAGGTCACGAGGTGGATTATAATTCAGAGGCATTATTTCGTTATCTCGCCTCTCGATAAGCTTATCATAGAAACTGGCAGGTTGTCATGCTGATATGTTGTAACATGGCAGCAAAAAAACAAACAAACAAACTTGATGAGGAACATCATTACATCAGTATCTATGTATGGGAAAAAGCAATACATTCTTATTGATAATATATATTAACATACACACATGAATATAGGTAAGCCTTACCTGGGGATATATTGTTATAAAATGGTAATATGGCAACTGTATTTATTCGGAGTGCGTTGCCCAAGAAAGCCCAGTTGCTTAGTTGTGAAGAACAGTTCACAAAGTGCTGTTAGGAACCAGACGAGCCAATCAGTAGATTTCCAGCCCCGGAATGGTAAGACAATTTAATACTACTATCACGTAAAGAATATTTAAACTCCAGGAAGTGACAGTTTAATATCGAATTTATTTTGTGCATGCAGCAGCGGAGGGGAAGAGGCTCGGAGGGGTTAGTCAAGCCTTGCATCGGCGGACTTGCACCATTATGATCCCAAACGGAGGGCGTGTTGTATCCAGCCGAAAAATCTATTCATGATAGCACTGACGTTCAAAATTCCTGTTAGGCGCCCAAAAGAATGGGCTTCATGTGTCTTAACGCTTTTTTAGCGACAAATCCCGCTACTTCCGCATTAAAACGGCATACTTCTTGCTCTCAATACCGTAGCAGGAAATCCCCCCCCCCCGACTGAAATTCTCCGGGAAAATTAGCCTAGACTTGATTTCCTCTTGGGATTAACAGCCTGGGTTATTTTCCCCCCAGGGGAATTTCAGACCTAGGATAGTTCCCGCCCCCCTCAGGGACCTCCCCTTAAGTAGATAATAATTTACAGAACTTTAAGGGAAGAGCCCGGACAACTACGCTTTGGCGACACACATTGATGATATATAGGGGGATTTGCGCCCAAATCCCCTTTCAGGGAAGGCTTCCGTCCCCTTAGAGAGAGAGAGTGGGATAGGTCAGTAACAATACAGATCATTATTATTATTGTTGTTATCATTATTATTACTATCACCATCATCATCATGACTGATTATTTGTTTGATATCAATAATTTTTTTTCTAAGTGAAATACATATAGCCAATGGACATGGAAGAGAATGAGAGAGAGAGATAATATCCCGAATGTTTAGAATATTCTCTTAGATTAATTCTATGGGATGTTTGAGCGCATCAACCAGGTTAAAAGAGCTCTCATCTGGTCATGAAAACCTTTACCTCGTACGGGAATCTTGGGCCAGAAGGGAGTCATATTTCCCCCGGGGGAAATTTCGGACAGGGGGAAAAAGAGACCGGTACAGGAGTAGTGACATCTCGTCATACTTTCGTGTTGAGTGATTTGTTGCAAATCACATCTTCAATGATAAGAATTTTGATTATAATATAGTATTTACAATAACAATATTTGCAACAAAACATGATAAAGATAACAATAAGAATTGATAATGCATATATTATTGCTCTATTTATGGTTCTGTTTAGGTACATAATAGAGGAAGCATCTCGCTTTCACCGTAAAACATTTATACCCAGATGAAGTGGGCGGTGCTGACGCTGGCGCTGATGGGCGTGGCGTGGGCGGAGTTGGCTCCACCCGAGAGATCCTACAAGATCCTGATGCTGTTGCCAGTCTCCTCGAAGAGCCACAGGAATGTCTTCTTGCCGGTTGCTGAGGGATTGGCAGATCGAGGACACAAGGTTAGGCGTGACAAGGAATAACTACATTATATTATTATATTATTACATTATTATATTATTACATTATTATATTATTATATTATTATATTATTAAATTATTATATTATTATATTATTATATTATTATATTATATTGACAAGGAATAACTAATGTTATTGTTATTAAGTACGTTATTGCCTTTTTCATTCGTCATATTCATTTAACTATGTCTTTATACCTCCTTAAGTAGCCAAGAGAGGGAGAGGTCATATGTCATTATCAAGGGGGGAGGAGAAGGAAGAGGGAGTGGAGGAAGTGGAGGAGAGTGGAGGAGAGGGAAGGAGGGAGGAGGAGGAAGCAGAGGAGAGGAAGGAGGTAGAGGAGGAAGTGGAGGAGAGGGAAGGAGGTAGAGGAGGAAGAGGAAGGAGGTAGAGGAGGAAGAAGAGGGAAGGAGGTAGAGGAGGAAGTGGAGGAGAGGGAAGGAGGTAGAGGAGGAAGTGGAGGAGAGGGAAGGAGGTAGAGGAGGAAGTGAGGAGGGGAAGGAGAAGGAGAAGTGGAGAGAGAAGGAGGTAGAGGACCAAGCTACATTCTCCATACGACTTTGTTACCGGAATCCCTGTATTTATTTGCGTGTTTAGTATTCACCCTTTATCATTTACTTATTATTCCATCATTATCATTGTTATAGTATTATCATTATTTTGATCATTGTTACTAGCTTTACTATCATCTTTATAACTATTATCATCATCATGAGCCTATTATCATATTTATCTGCTATTATTATAATTCTAATCACTATCACTATTGTTATAGTTATCATAATAATAATAATTATTATTATTATTATCATTATTATCATTATCATTATTATCATTATTATTATCATTACCATTATTATTATCATTATTATCATCATTTTCATTATTATTATCATTATCATTATTATCATTTTCATAATCATCACCCTCAAACCCCATCCTCACCGCCATCCTCAACCTCAACATCACAATCCATCAAGCGTCATTATCAACGAGTCCGAATCCCCTTTGCAACTGCAGATCGTGATCCTGGCCAACCACCCTCCGGCATTAAATCACCCCAACGTCGAAGAAATCAACCACGGTCTGTCAGAGTTCAACACGGAGGCCATGGACTTGTTTGCAATGAGACCCGACCCGGCTGTTGTCTTCAAGGTGTTGCAAGACGCTCTTCCCATCATCGCCAGGAAGCTGTACAAGATCCCGAAAGTTAAAGAGCTTTATGACAGAAGAAAGGAATTTGACCTTTTAGTTATCAATCACATGTTTAATGAGGTGAGTTTGGTTGGTCATGTTTGTAATAGGCGTTTTCATTTCCTTTTCTAGTTAGGGGAAACTGCTATAAATGGCCGATGCCCAAATATTATCGTCATTTGTTAGAATATTTCTTATGCTGACAACGGAGACACAAAACAAGGTGTCCTGAAGTTTTCATCTGAAGTTAATATATTTATTTTCTAGACTGCGTCATTCGGCATCTGTCCACGTCAGTTATCACTGTTGCTATTATTGTTATTACAGCATTTCCTTTTCGCAAAACAGTAGAATCGATTTCTGACCAGATCATATAAACAGTTGAAGGATGAACAAAACTCAGCATTAAATGTGGTGTTTAAATACAGATGTTTTATATTGGCAGAAGAAGTGTTCGCTTATTTTACCAACCAGTTGTCCCTACTGCAAAACGTAAGACTCAGCTTGTCATCTGTCATCCAGCGACAGAATAACAAAACTATCCTCATTTTTGCCACAGGTTGTATACCCCTTTGCCCACGAGATGCCCTTCATCACCGTAGCGACACCAGGCATGGATTCTCGCCAAAGTGCTGTCTTCGGCAACGTCCTGAACCCAGCGTATGC